TTGTAAAAATGACATCAAAAGGGTAGACAATTGGGACCAACAGTTAGCGTAATGGCTATGTCGCTGGACTCCCATGTAGTCAACTGCGGTTTGTGTCCTGGACCCAGTGGCTTAAACTCACGCCGGGCGCGTGTGCTTGCGTGCCCAAGATCCCAAGAGGAGAATGGAGGAGAAGGGATTGCGGCGTGGCCATCCCCCCGGGGGGTGATTTCTCGCTTTCTATCTCTCTGTCTCTCTCTGTCTTTCTGGCGAGTGCATGCGCCCTATAGAGGAAAACCTCTCCAAAAAAAAAAAAAAAAAGGTAGACAATTCAGTGAGATAATAGTACACACCTCTTAGAATGGCCAAGGGGTCAGTAGGTGGCATTGTAATTAAGGCTCTGGACTCCCACATGGCTAACCACAGCTCAAATGTTGTGTGTGCCCAGTGTGTTGATGAAGCTGCTGGATACTGGACTCAAACCACACAACTGGCCATGTGGGATCCAGCTGCCTTAACCTCTGTGCCACATGCTGGCCTGAGATATAGTTTCTCTTGAGCAGCACATTATGGCTATGCCATGGAGCTGGCTTTTTAAAAAATTCATGATAGAGTGGGTGCACATGTACAAGCAAGAGAGAGAAGCACTCTTCATAGGCATGGTCACACTGTAATCCCCCCCTTCCCCCCCCCATTTCTTAAAAGAATTGTTTACTTACTTACTTACTTACTTATTATTTCACATGATTTTGCCAGAAGAGGGAGAGGTTAAGTGGAAATCAAGCCGCTAGTTTTGGGATTTGAAGTGTGATAGGCCATGTGAGAAGTCCAGTGCCTCAACCACCATGTCACCTGCTGGCGACATAATCCCTTCTTTTAGTACTCTAGCCTATTGGGATCCTGGGCATATGTACACCTAGCATCATTTTTTGACCTCTGGGCTGGAGACTTGCAATGCAGTCAGCATGTGGCATCTAGCTCTGCCGTCCTGTATGCTACCAACTATTCTAAAGAGGCTGGGCCTTTAGTAAGTGTTGAAGCCCAGTAGAATCAGTCCTCAACTTTGTTGTTCTTCAAATACAGTGTTGGCTATTCTTTATTTTTTTCTCTCTATATAAACTTTAGAATCAATTTGTTGATATCCAAAAAATAACTTGTTTTGTTCGGGGCTAATTTTTTTTTCTTTTTAAGGTTTTTGCCATAGAACACACACGCTTGCTGGAGAGACAGACAGTAAGAGGGAAAGTGAGATCTTACTTACTCCCAGGGAGGATGGCCATGCTACAATCTTTTCTTCTCCATTCTTATTCTGGGATTCTGAGCACGTATGTAAATGCGTCCTGTGTGAGTTTCAAGCCACTAGTTCCAGGACTTGAACCATGGTTGGCCATGTGGGAGTTCAGCCTCTTAGCCACTATGTTCACTACTGATCCTTGAACTAATAATTCTTTTAAGCAAATTATATATTTTATAGAAGAGTATGCTGTGTATATGATCCAACTCACATATAAAAACTTGGCTAATCACAAATTCACATGGAACTTTTTTAGATATAGTTAGAAGCTTGATTTATTGCTTAGAACAAAGTACTTTAACAATGAAATCCTTTTATTGAGTTCACAACCCAGATAATAAGAGATTGCTTTTTTGGCTCAGCCATGGTAGCACAGGCTATAGGTGCTACATTGTAGTGCTGAAGACACATGGGAGACCATGGGTTCAAATTCCCAGGTGACCTGAAACACATTGGTATGCATGTGCACCTACAATCCTGGCTTGCTAGAAGAGAGGTTGGGGGCTCACAGTGTGATCAGATTCTAAGAGGGTACCTCTCTCTCTCTCTCTCTCATTTTCTCTCTCATAAAATAAATGAAGATTTTGCCTTTTTTTGGAGAGGTTTTCGCTATAGGGTGTGTGTGCTCACCAGGAAGACAGAGAGAGACAGAGAGACAGACAGAAAGCGAGAAATCACCCCCCAGTGGGGATGGCCATGCTGTAATCCCTTCTCCTTCATTCTCCTCTCAGGATCTTGGGCACACACACACACA